AAGTAAAGCAAGGAGCCAAGCGTGGGCCTGGACTTCCACATGTAGCGCGCTTCGCGTGGAAAACACAGAAAGAAGTCGTAGCAGCAAAGGGCTGGGCCGGAATACCGGGCGAGGGTAGTACGGTCAGTCATACTGGTTGTGTCAAGAGTATACACAAAATGGTGCAACTACCTTGAGCAGAAATAGTGAAGCAGTTCCCCAGGAACCTAGCAATAGTAGTTAGCGGCGATCGACTCTGGGACGCAATGTTGAACGTACTCTGCTTGAACGGCTACCACCCTCTCGTTCAACATGGCCGATGGGTTTGAGCAGGGGCCGCTGGCTTTGTATGATTTTTGAGTTACGAGTCCTGCGGTTTTATCCATGAGGGAGACAGGGCGGCGATGCCCGACGGAGCTGTCATCTGAGCAATAAACTTCTCTGCATCGGCATTTTTTGTGTATGTTCGTCGCCATCTGCGCTGGCATGGCCACCGCGTTGCCTGACTGGGTTGCAAATGGCGCACGGATGCCGATGACTGAGATGAGCCCAAGAGGCTGCTCCACCGTCCGAGTGCGCCTGGCCAGGTAAAAGTCCAAGTGTGCCGGCTTCAGGGGAATCAGTACTACATGCCGGGTAGTGTCTGAGCGCGTTGCCAAGTGGCTCCCTGTCGAAGGCAGATTAGGTGAGTATGGGTATGAAGGATTCCCTCGACGGTAGTAGTACCTCCCTAGACGATAGGCTCGCGTTTCACTCAAACTATGTAGGTGATCGCCGAGTCTGATTCATGAGTGACGCGGTCCGGGCGCAGAAGACCCGACACATAGACGCTGTTGGCATATACGAACACTTGTCATTAATCAACAACTCTTGCCCACTATGAGTCTGAGCCACAGTGCCATACACTCACGTTGTCAAGGCTCTTCTTCTGGCCCCGGTTCAACCTGTGCGGTCCGTGATCGCCCCTAGTAAGTTGAATGTACGTTGGTTATCCCTGGACCCTGGAGATTATGTCCAGCCTCCCGCCAATCTCAAGCTAGTATACAACGGTCAAATGCAGCCTTCACCTGTCGTGATATCATGAGGTATGGGCGACGAGGAAGGGCCTTTCCGCGCGGCGCGCCCTGTCGCCGAACTTGAGCTCGTCCTGAGCGCGTGGGCGACGATGTGACGTAAGGGTAGGCCACGGGGCGCCAACCGGCCAATTCGGCCATCGAACTGTAGCACCGGCTGGAGGCACGGAAAATAGGCGCCCTGCTTCCCGCCCTGCCACAGCCGCCGGCCCGTGCACCGCGCACACATGACCTCCTAGCGTCGCGTTCACTGCACGCGCATGACCGCCCTCAAACTGCCGTCGGCCGCGTCGCTCGAGTATTTAGCGTGCATGGAGAGGGGATAGGGGGACGACGATCTGCGAGTGTCGGTGCCCTGACATCAACCATCCAGAAAGACTCTCGCGCTCTCGCCCGGGGCCGAACTTGCGATTCTAGCTGAAGGATGTGGGTGTCGACAACGCGCGTGGTGCTGGCGGCCTTGGTGGCGAGCGTGCACGTTGCACGGGTGCTCGCGTGGGCAGACGACTGGGAGGCGGGCAAGAACTGCACGGTCAAAGCGCCGTTGGGTGCGGGGCTGGATGATACCGACCAGGTGCGTACGGGCGATTGCTCTCGTTCTCGTGTTGCTAGACGTGACGGGATTTTGTAGATCGAGGCTGCAATCGCGCGCTGTGGGCACTATGGCACGACGACGATCAACGAGGGTGTGTACAACATCACGAGGTGCGTGCCCCCTCCTGCCCCGCGGGTATCTGTTGAGTGTGCTGAGTGCGGTCGTGCAGGAAGATGATGTGGGACTTGGTCGAAGCCCGGGTTGACCTGCACGGGTACTTGAATGTACGCGCGCGCCCACAATCCGTTCACGTCTACCCACCCCTCCCTAACGTGGTCTCATTTTAGTTCACCGCCGACCTGCCCTACTGGATGAAATCCGAGAACACCTACCGCGTCGTCTTCGTCCAGGTACGCCCCCTCCCCTAGCACCCGCCCTTTCTGACGGGCCCCACAGGACCAATCCTCATGGTTCGTCGTGACCGGGCGCGACTTCACGCTCGACGCGCACAACACGGGCGGGATCATCGGGAACGGGCAGTACTGGTGGAACTGGTACGGCACGTCGAGCCGGCTCGACGGCGACGGGCGCCCGATTGCGTTCACGCTCTGGCGCGTCCTCCGCGCCGTCGTGCGCGGCTTCCGCGTCGAGGGCCAGCCGTTTTGGTGCAACACCGTCGCGGAGAGCCGGGATGTGCTGTATGACGGGATGTACTGCAACGCGACGAACACGAACCCGGTGTACTATGGGCACAAGTGAGTGGTGCGGTGTTGGGAACTAGTCATGCTGGTTACGGTGGCTGACTGGTGGTTACCCAGCATCGTTCCGAATACAGACGGTGAGCTTACTTGTTCACGGGTAGGCGGGGCGACGCCTGACGGGGTACAGGTATCAACACGTTCCGCTCGGACAACGTAACTCTGCTGAACTGGGATGTGCGTGACGCATCTTCACCGCTGTGCGTCTGTGGAGCTGACAATCACAGATCACATTGGGAGACGACTGTCTAGCGATCAAGGGTGTTCGTTGACTCACCCGCGATGCAGCGTTCCGGCCTGACACAGATCCCCTACTAACATCAGAACTCCACCAACATCTACGCACAAAACGTGACGTGCCACGGAGGGAATGGCATCGCGATTGGTTCCTTGGGACAATACCCCGACCTCGTAAGCTCACCAGTCATTTTTACTTGTCCTAGATGACTCACCGCACACCCTGTCGTAGTTCGACCGTGTCGAGAACGTGACGCTGCAGGATCTCCGCGTAAGCCAAAGGTGCTTCTCCGTCCTCGCTGCTGACAGTGTACCCGCAGCTGCTGCACATCGACCCGCAAGTCCAGCCTAATATGGGCAGCGCTGTAGGCTTCCTGTTCCTGTGTTCGATGTCGTCCAGGCAGTTGACCGCAGAGGTAGGTATACTTCAAGTCGTGGTCCGGCTCAACCATCGGACATCCGCCCGCCAACGGCGGCGGAGGCCCAGGTAGGTTCCCGCACCCATCCCCCTGTGATACCTGTGAGCGCCGCTTATGCCCTGGCAGGTCTCGTGTCAAACGTGACCGTCCGCAATGTCGACCTTTACAACGTCTCCCTCCCCATCCATGTTTACCAGAGCAATGGCGCGCACCCGTACGTACCTGCCGTCCCCTCTGGTCAGCCCGTCGTTGCTCAGTTGACACATGCACTGGCAGGGGCGACGCACCCTCAACGCTGCAGTTTGAGAATCTGCACTTCTATAACTTCACGGGGACGTCCTCGGGCAGCACGAGTGCGCACATCGTTTTTTTTCATGGTGGGCTTGAGCTGAGACGACGACTTGTGACAGTTGTGAACCTCGCCTGCAGCCCGGCGGTCCCGTGTGGCGGGATGACCTTCGAGAACGTCAACGTCACCGTGAACAGCGGCGCCGAGCCTCATTACCTGTGCTCGAACGTTGCCAGCCAGCAGGGGCTATCCAGTACGTGAACCGACCGTCGGGATATGCTACAAACGTTGACTGTCATTCCATAGACTGCACTACCAGTTCTTGATAGTGTTGGCGCCCCTAGGGTGTTTCGAATGCTAGCGAGCAGTCTGATCTATAGCCTAGTTCCCGGTTTTATTCGGACATCTTTCCTACCTATGAGTATCTTAGGTTCAGTAAAATGCACCACCGCCTGACGTCCCAGTATCGCGGGCGAGATTTTGGGAACGATGTCACACTAGTTTGGCATCGTAAGTGGGCGTTAGCCCTCAGTCGATACTTGACCAATTCTCGACAGACTCAGAATGGACTCGCTCACAATACTTACCCGGCTCCCTGGTACATACTTCGACTCTCATGGCGCGCAAGCTCGAACTTGAATATGAATGCGAAGGCGCGCGGCGGTACACCGTAGGCCGGTGAGGACTCGACGATGAGCCGCACCTGCTAGGTGCCAGGTTAGTATTGCACGTTAGCCCCGAATTGACACTGGTCCGCCACTTGCTTCTGTCCACCATCGCCCCCACATCGACACCCAATTTCCTCTCTTCATATACACCATGCCTACCCTCGCCTACCTTGACATATGCATGGGCGACAAAGATGCGCATGCGCGCGACGAAGCAGAGTACTCTGCAACGTGCGCGCTGTTGTTGAAGACTGCGCATATATACGGGGTTCCTTCGACACCCCCCGAGTTGATAGAAGAGCAACGAGACATCCTCAGGGAGCTCGACGTTTGTGGCCAATGCTTAGACGGCCAGCCAGTGATCTGACATGCAGTGTCAACAGAGCTCCATGCAGATGCGCTTCGAGCCCCCGCTGCCGCTCTTGGCTGGCAGGCTAGTGTTCGAGCTCGACACGTCTCCAGGGCTAGCGAAAACAAGAGCGAACTTCATCGCGCTCTGTACGGGGGAGAAGGGCATGTGCAAGCACGCACCCAACAAAAAGCTGCATTATCTCGACTGCCCGATCCACCGGATCGTCAAGGGCTTCGTCGCGCAAGGCGGGGACGTGACGAGAGGCGACGGCAGCGGTGGCGAGGCAAGTAGCATACGTTTCGTCGTCCCGACAGTGACTGGCCGCGTCACTCAACCGCATACCACAGTCATTCTACGGAGGAAAGTTCAACGACGAGAAGGAGGGCCTCAAGAAGAAGCTCGTCCATGGGTCGCTCGCGATGGCCAACGCGGGGAGAACACCAACTCATCGCAGTTCTTCGTGGTGCTCGCGGAGAATGCAGCGAAGTTGGCGAAGATGCAGGGAAAGTATGTGGCGTTCGGGGTGTTGAAGGAAGGATTTGAGGTGCTTTCGCAGCTGGACAGCGTTGGGAGTACGGACGGAAAGCCGTGTCAGAATATATGGATCGGGGGATGCGGTTTATGTTGAGGTGGCGGGGAAGGTCCAAAGGTCAGCTAGTGGATGAATTTTAAAGGGATAACATCTAACAAGGGCGTTTGGCACAGTGGTAGCGCGCACGCTTTGCATTCGGCAATACTCCTGCGTGAGGTCGAGGGTTCAAACCCCTCAACGTCCAAGTATTTTACTTTTCGCCCAGGGATCTATCTCTTTGGGAGTATTCTTTGCGGCAAACTCCACAGCAGAACGAGAACGACAACATACCTCTTCTGTTATACATGACTGGAAGGGTATTTATGCACTAGGATGCCCTGCACCATGAGTCGACGATGCTACGGTGCGAAGTCAGCCGTTCTGTCTCACCCAGCTGCTATGATCACCAGGTCAGTCGGTCACCCCGAGATTCGCCCATAGCGTTGTTTTCCCAGTCTACACGAAGATGCATGCATAGACCGGACCGCGACCGGCACTAACTATACGGTGTATCATTTCATACGCGATCCTTGTGACCACGAACGACGTCCTCGACATCCCCTTCTAACCAGCATAAGACCCCTGCATTTGAAACCAGCTAGCCCACCGTCTCCCGGGTCCTCCAGGATGGTTTCTCAGCTGTTCTCCATACTCCTCGCCGGCCTATGCTTGGGCCGGCAGTTCGCGTCTGCCTTCCAGTACTATGCGGACAACCGAACGTGCACGCTCGAACCGTTGGGCAGTGGGCAGGACGACACGAACCAGGTTCGTCGCGCGTGGACTCGATGTGAACGAGGCCACTGACGCATTCTCCTAGATCGAGGCTGCCATCACGCTGTGCGGCCACTATGGCACGACGACATTCGCGCCTGGGGAATACAATGTCACGAGGTGAGTACACCATCCGAGTGAAGGGAGATAACGAAACCGACCTGGCGTAGGAAGATGACTTGGGACCTTGTGGAGTCCAGAGTAGATCTCCATGGCTATTTGAACGTAAGACCACGTCAACCTACCATTGGACCTACTAGATCCCTCGCAGTTCGTCGCAGACCTGCCCTACTGGATGCACCCCGAGAACACATACCGTGTCATCTTCATCCAAGTACGCCGCGCAACGATGCCGCTGGCGGATACCTCCCGCTGACCCGGCGCCGCAGAGCCAAGCGTCCTGGTTCGTGGTCACCGGCCGCGACTTCGTCGTCGACGCGCACGACACGGGGGGCATCATCGGGAACGGGCAGTACTGGTGGTCCTGGTACGGCAACGGCACGCGCATCGACGGCGACGGGCGGCCGGTCGCGCTGACCGTGTGGCGCGCGCACCGGGGCACCATCGCGCGCTTCCGCGTCGAGGGCCAGCCGTTCTGGTGCAACGCGGTCGTGGAGAGCCAGGGCGTCGTGTACGACGGCATGTACTGCAACGCGACGAATGCGGACCCGCTGTACTACAACCAGAAGTGAGTGTCGCGAGTGAGGGGGGATAGTGGTGGTGCTCACCTGTGTGCAGCATTGTGTGGAATACTGACGGTGAGAATGTCGATGCGAGTGGGCGACGGCACGCTGAGGAGGTGACTTTGCAGGCATCGATACATTCCGCTCGGACAACATCACCCTGATCAACTGGGATGTCAGTACATGAAACCGCATATCCGTAGGATCAACGGAGCTGACGAGGACGCATGGGGTTAGATCACACTCGGGGACGACTGTATTGCAATTAAGGGCGTACGTGAATAGCACGGAGCTAGATGAACGCTAACCTTTATTTCTGGGGCACAGAACTCCACCAATGTATACGCCAAAAATATCACCTGCACAGGCGGGACTGGCATCGCGTTCGGTTCCTTGGGGCAGTACTACAACCTGGTCAGCACCTCGCATACGCATCAAGGGCTCAGACATGCGTCGGGACCGAGACCGCACTGACGCGCACATCGCATTCGTAGTATGACAATGTAGAGAACATCACTCTGGAAGACGTGACGGTGAGATTGCCGGCGTCCTGTGTCTAGTGAAGCTGAACGGACGATCTGTTGGCGTAGATGATTAGGCCGGACCCGACGATACAGCCTTACATGGAACATGGTGTGCGTGGACCGCTCAGTTGCGGAAATGGTGACCTAACCCAGATGCAGGTTTACTTCAAGTCCTGGACAGGGACGACCATCGGCTTCCCTCCAGCAGAAGGCGGCGGTGGGCCAGGTAGGTGGCCGGTGGCCGGATACCATACATAGTACGCCTGCTAAAATGAGCGTCGCGACATATAGGCACGACCACAGGCGTAATTGCACGCAGCTTCAGCCTTGCAAATGTCACGTACCCCATTCAACTCTACCAGACGAACGCCGGACATGCGTACGTGGACGTGCCAGACAGCGGCACCATACATACCTCTGAATGACCTGATGAACGTGCCGCAGAGGCGATGCTCCGTCGAAGTATCAGTTCGGCGGCCTTGCGTTTGATGACTTCACCGGTACAGCATCGACAGGCCTGAGTAAGGATTCCCATTGTGTACAGCCCGTCACGCCGCTGAGAGCTTCGTGAACAGTTGTTGACATCGAGTGCAGCCCAGCGGCGCCGTGCGGGGATCTGTCGTTTCAAAACATCGCTGTGAAGCCACCGAGTGGCACGACGGCGACGTACAACTGTTACAACGTTGCCAGCCAGACGGGCCTGACTGGTGAGGCTTACCCACTAGAGGGACACTGGATGGGGATCGTTGCTAATTATGCGCGCTTTCGCAGCCTGCCGCACCAACAACACGACGACGTAGGGTTAATGAAGCTGCGCGGACATGCCGAGTGATGCGGAAGCTGAAGAAAGAGGCATTTTAGATAGCGAAGCTGCGCATGGTGGGATGTCCTGCAGAGTGTTGGAAATCAAAGATGGCCTGTCCCAGCTTGACTGCCCGCTACAGGCCTACAGCCACAGCTGTCGGGTGTGCGGGTAGAGCGCGAAGCGAGCTGAACGCGTTGGAGGTGCTGGAGACCGTCTTGGACGGCGAGCGGACGGGCGTAGGCAGCGACGAGAGCGGTCTGGCCCAGGGAGAACCGTGGTGGTAGGGATGGCGATGATCGTTGCGCAGCCGGACGAAGGAAGGGTCAGCGCGTGGCCGGATAAGGCAAGTCCTGTCATGGCAACGTCGCCGAGAGGGAATCAAAAAGCATCGTCCGCGTCTGTAGTCCCACAGCCCAGTGCCCACCTTTATCTCCTCCCCTTCCTCCTCCTTCATCTTCCGATCCCTTACAGTCCTTCGCTTCAGGCCGGTCCTCACTCCTTTCAGTCCGCTGCGCAGGATATCGACATACGCAGTGCCCCTCAATCCGCTCATGGCCAACAAGTGGAAACGCGCTTCCAGCCTCGACTTCTCTGACGGCAAGATGCCTCCCCTCTCCCAGCACCCCGACATGGCGAACCCGTTCGCTGACAACGGGCTCGAGCCCAACCACCTGCAGCGCAACAAGTCCGAGCGCAGACGTCTCCAGCCGCTCCAGAGGACGAACACCACGAGCACCATGCCCGCGACCCCGTACAGGCCTACGGGATGGATGGATCGGTTCGATGTCTGGATGATTAACGAAGGCGGCAAGAGGTTGTTCTTCGTCTTCTTTATCCTCCTTCACGTCTTGGTTATCCTGTTCGGTGCTTTCTACTACGGTACGAGTGACGACTTGGTGGGTGATCGCAAGACCTTCGGTGTGACGTATCGTACGTACCCTGCATCCTCACCCGTCCCGATTCACCATGGCTGATGTCGTGCCACCAGCGATTGCTCGTGGTGCCGCCCTCGTCCTGCACGTCGAGGTTGCGTTCATCCTCTTGCCCATCTGCCGCAACTTCATCTCGCTCCTCCGCCGCACGCCGCTCAACCACTACATTCCTTTCGACAAGAACATCACGTTCCACAAGTCCGTCGGCTGGGGCATCTGTTTCTTCTCCTTCGTCCACATTGCCGCGCACATGGTCAACTTCACCGAGCTCGCCTTCGTCGACCCGCTGGCCACCACGCCCGGCGAGCGCTTCGTCGTCTTCCTCATCGCGAACTTCACCACCGGTCCTGGTGTCACTGGCTGGATCATGACCGTCGCGCTCGTTATCATGGCCTGGTACGCTAGGGAGAAGCCTCGTCGCGCGAACTTCGAGCGCTTCTGGTACTCGCACCACCTGTTCCTCGTCTTCTTCCTCAACTGGCAGCTGCACGGTATGTTCTGCATGATCCAGCCCGACCGCGCTCCCTTCTGTTCATGGAACACGATCGGTGTGTTCTGGGTACGTTTGATCCGCATCTCACCTTGTGCCCTTGCTGACGCCCCGCGCAGCGTTACTGGCTCGTCGGCGGATGCATCTTCACGTTTGAGCGCATCCTTCGTGAGGTCCGCTCGCGCCACCGCACCTACATCTCCAAGGTCATCCAGCACCCGTCCAACGTCATCGAGCTCCAGATCAAGAAGGAGAAGACGGTCACCCGTGCTGGGCAGTACATCTTCATCAACTGCCCCGAGGTCTCGTACTTCCAGTGGCACCCGTTCACGCTTACCAGGTATGTGTGGGATGCCCGTCTCTACTGATGCCCGCTGGAGCTCAATGTCCACAGCGCGCCCGAGGAAGACTACATCTCCGTGCACATTCGTGTTGGCGGTGACTTCACGCGCCAGCTCGCTGAGGCCGTCGGCGCCGACTTCAAGGACAAGGGTGGCGACATGGGTGCCCTCAGCTCGCCCGTGAACCGTGTGCTTCCGCGTGTTATGGTTGACGGTCCCTTCGGCTCTGCTTCGGAGGACTTCCTCAACTACGAGACGATCTTGCTGGTCGGTGCTGGTATTGGTGTGACGCCGTTCGCTTCGTGAGTAGTCTGTGTCTGCTGCGAGTACTGCGCAACGCGCTAACGCGTGAGGGGTCGGACAGCATCTTGAAGTCGATCTGGTACCGCATGAACAACCTCAACCAGACGAAGCCGACGCGCCTGTCGAAGGTCTACTTCACCTGGGTCATCCGTGACTTCGGCTCGGCGGAGTGGTTCCACTCGCTGCTGCAGGCCATCGAGGAGCAGGACACCCAGGACCGGATCGAGATCAACATTTACCTGACTGCGAAGATCAAGGAGGACGACATGAACAACATCATCGTGCGTGCCCCTCCCCCATGCTGCTGGCGAGGCGCCTGGCTGACGCCTGTTCATGTTCCGAAAATAACTAGGTCC